ATAGAACTCAATGTATCCAAGATGTTGGCTATTCTATTGTCGAACTATGTATCCAGGATGCCAATTTTTTTTGGGATGTAATGTTATGCCGGGTTTTTTTTCATCCTGTACAAACATGTTATGTTAATATCATAATATAATCTTCTTTGTGTAATGGTCAAAAACATAACATTCATAGTCTGATAACTATAATTAGGGTCAATAACATAACATTCATTATTCATTAACTACACCAATATTCGTTTACCATTTCTACATTTCTAAACATAGGATAATCCATAGTAATACCCAAAAAACATAGCTACACCGATTACAACTACACCAAATATAACTACAACATTGTTGTATTCAACCATCTTAACATTCATCTTTTCCATATTCTGATTCATCTTGTCCATCCTAACATTCATCTTCTCCATCATCTTCTCCATCTTAACATCCATCATCTTCTCCATCATCTTCTCCATCTTAACATCCATCATCTTCTCCATCATCTTCTCCATCTTAACATCCATCATCTTCTCCATCATCTTCTCCATCTTAACATCCATCATCTTTTCCATCTTCACTTCATGTAACTCATCACGGAAACCATCCAACTCTTCAATTATCGCATCGTCAAGCCATTTGAAAAAATGAGAACCATTTCTCTGAAACATAAAACAACACAAACATAAGAAACCAATGTCATTTTCTGAAAAAAAAAAATATGTACAAATTACATACCTCTTGCGAGTCACAAGAAAAGAAAATTCTTCCAGGATTTTTGTCTGTTCTCGATGTCTTTCTTGATATAGGTAGTCCGCATTCACACCGAAATTGTAAAATTCCATTGTTCCGTCGAGTTGGTCGAGCATTCGAAAGTGAAGACTCTGTTGCATAACTCATCTTCTATTTTCAACCTGCAACATAAACACGTACTGTATTTTTAGTAAAAAAAATCGAAATCGAAGTCTCTGATGAATCTCTAACACATTTGTAACAATACCCATAAACTTAAATCTGCCAAAACCACCCCACGGTAACCGAAATTTGACAAACCCTAAACCCTAACTCTAAAAATCTCAAGTGAAATTTTACTTTTCAGTAGCATAACAACAATACAGAACCCGAACAAGCCTGAAATCTCTGAAATCAAATATATTTCAAAGCCAACCCACAAACCCTAGAAACTCAAATGGAGTTTCTTACCTGTTACCTTTGCTTCACTTGATAAAAATAACGCATAAACCAAACGAGATAGAACAGATGCGAGATTTACTCGAAATCTGTTGAAAAATCTGGAGAGAAAGCCCCTACAAATGGAAACTCTTACCCTCTCTCTATCGCTCTCGCGTTCTTCTGCTATCACCCAGAATAAATACAATTTTGTGTAAATTATAAGCTTGTTTTATCTGACGTGGCAAGTATATCCTACGTGGATTAGGATCAGCAACTCCGTTTATGCCATGTCACTAGTTCCGTTTCAGCCGTCACAACGTTCACGGCGCGGGAGTTTTTTAGTTAATAAATTGTAAGTACAGGGTTTAATTGGTTATCAGGATAGAGTACAGGGTTTATTTGGTAAGGAAAAAAGTACAGGGTTTTTTCGTTGACATGGGAAAAGTACAGGGTTTTTATGGCGATTTCCCCTATATAATAACTAAAATTAATTATTAGTAATGATGGGTAACAACTTTTGTTATCGTGTATTACTGTAGTTGATTTTTTTATTATTTTATTTTAATATTATTATTATTTTAATATATAAACTAATATTTTTTATCTAAAATTTAGAAAATTTCTAGGACTCCAAAATTTTTTGAGACGGTCCTATATATATATATATATATATATATGTCGATGTAATCAAATACATAGAAATATATAAAGATTAGGGGAGAGAGAGAGAGAGAGGGAGGGGATACGATGTGGAATGTTTTTCTTGATACGTAGAGATATATGCATGCATGCCCTTGCATGGGAGCCCCACCAAAGATGCACACTAAGACATTTGAGGACCAAAATCATAAGATCCATTGAAAAAAGGTGGAACAAATATGCGATTAGAAAGGCTTTGTATATATATATATATATATAAATGTGTGTCAAATATTGATGAAAGAGAATATACGTCACGAGCTTATTAGCGGAATTCGTTTGCTTTTACCGGGTTTTAGATCATTTTATTAGTTTTTTCACTGACAATGGTGGCCAATGACATGGTTACCATGCCCAAGATTGAATTTTTTACATATCTATATTGTACATATCTCTAATAAATATTAAATATCCGACTAATATTATACCGACAGAAAATAAAACTACGTCGTGTAAAACGTGTCTTTTGGAGTACAACAAAGTTTGCCCGAAATCAATTACACGATTTTACGTTGTGGAAAGCCTTTTAATTGATGTTAGATCCGTACATGGGAGAGAGACTCACACTTCAACGACTATATATCCTGTCTAGATTCCTTAATTATATAAGTATTTGACTTGTCGCATATATATATATATATATATATATATATATATATATATCCACGTGTATATATCTTTTGTAATTTCCTTAACCATATCTACTCTCCTTGACAAGATCCAAATTCAGTTTAGATTTGTGGATAACTATTAACTTGGGTAAGGATTTCCTTACTTCTTAGTTCCATTTAAATGTCCATCAAGTGAGATTATGAAGAATGTAAATTTTTATACAATTCCCTAATTACTAAATCAAACTAACACGATTATACCAAATTAAACCAAACCAACGATTTAAACTAATTTCTCGTTCTAATTGGGATTGGAAACAAGAATCAGTATTTACAAATACGCGAGAACTCGATCTGCGAATTCACACTTAGATTTGGATGTTGAACTAGGGATGACGTTTATAACCAAATAATTGAACCGATGTGATCCAAACCGTAATCAAACCGAATATGCGGTATAAAAATCGAATGGTTAAGATTAAATTTGTAAATCTCTTCTCGTCTCCTCGTCTATTCGTCTTTTTTCGCCTCACCCTTTTCAACCGAATAATTGGCAGATTTCCGAATTTTTGGATTTTTTTTATGGATAGTGAAGCAATATGACTAGATGATAATTTCGAATTTCAAAATAAAAAATACGAGTTTGAAAATGCTAATTTTACAGGCCAAGAAATTATAAACTAAATCATTAGAAAGGTCTAAAAAAATATAATCAAATTAAGAATTAGAAATTGTGATAATTTTCAATTGAAAAGTTTTACATTGTAAGCATACCCCACCTAAACCCCCCAAAAAAGAAAATTAAGGGGGGAGTGGGGGCAGTCCACTTGCATGAGTGCGTCACGTGTGGTCGATTCGCTATGTCATATATTTCTACATTTTCAATACAGAAATTCATAACAATTATACTTATTATTTGATTTTTATTTAATTTGAAAAAAGTTGGTTCTATAAATTTACTTTTTATTGGCGCACACGGGATTTGATATTACTTTATTTATTTATTACTTATTATTGCGAATATAAAATTATTCACTTTGCAGCGAGTTGTTCATCCCTCGAGAACGCCTTCCCGTTTCCCCCCTTTCGTTTATTGTCTCGCCATTTTTCCACCTTCGTCGTTTGACCCTGATTTCTCTCGAAATCGATCATCCTGCTCTCGGATCGGAGATGACGCTTGGATCAGGAGGATCTGGTGTTGTGGGTAATTCCGCGTTCCTCTCATCTCTCTAATCTGCTTGATCCATTAGATTTTCTGGGGTTGTGATTGTCGTTGAGTTCTCCAGAATCTGGCTCCTGGGTTTTAGGGTTTCTGCGGTTTTCTGGATTTCCCGAATTGATCGTTCTCGTGGACTTGTGTGTTCAAGTGATGGGTCTCCCTACCTTGTCGGAACCGTTGTCTGATACTTAGAAGACGATTCTTGTGTAATTCGCACCTTGTTTGGTTCCTTCTTGCTGTTTAAGGTCCGAGTTTTGGCAGAATCGTGGCTAATAGCGAATCCTGGAGAATCGAGAGGTTATCTATCATGTCGGTTTATTCATTCAAGATGATGGGCTCTAACTTGTAGATAGTGATGTTCTCTGGGTCGATTTCGATGAAGTGATTCTTGATTTCGCTTGGTTACTTCGAGATTTGTTTGATAGTCATGATCCCATTACACTAATCTCATGTGTCATTCGTTGGAATTCACCGTTTGAGCCTAGATTGTGTTCTTGTATGGCTGCTGGAAAACATCCGAATCGATTTCATGGATGGTTATTTACGAACTCTGATATTATGAATGCAATTCGTAACTTTGAGATCCCTGTTTTGATGTTGAATTCCTCTTTCGTTTTCTTGCTTTGGGTGGTCCAGGGCAAGTGGTGGGATCTAATCTAATGCCGATTCCTGTGTATAGTGATTGAAAACTTCATGCAAACTCAATGGATTTGCTCATATGTCGAAAGTAATCTCGTGTAGGAGCGAGTTAAGCATTCTATTGAAGTGAATCTGTTATGCAATTTTTGTATTAATTAGCAAATGCATATTAGTGGGGAGGTTATTTTCTTTATGCCACTGTGGACTGAAGGTCCGGTTTTCATTACTTTTCCGAAAAATTGTAATGCTGGACTTGTTTTGTGATCGTGTTTGTACAATGGGGGATGGTGCAATTGCTCATCTTATGCAGTTCCCCGGAATTTCCGGTTATTGGAGGAACTTGAACGTGGGGAGAAAGGTATTGGAGATGGAACCGTGAGCTATGGAATGGACGATGGAGATGACATCTACATGCGTTCTTGGACTGGAACTATTATCGGACCTCACAATGTAATCTCTTGTATCAACATTCATCTCATTACTATGCATTTAATACCTAGAGATGTTCACCTAATCATTGAACAAGTGTAGAAGTTGAACATAACTTGAAAGATGGATCACAAGGCTTTGCTCACTTGTTTAACACAATGTTAGAACACGGGTCCTAAGTGTATTTTTAATCTGTGATATATGTCATTATTGGGTATGTTTTCTTGTCTAGAAAGCTCACATCTTTGATGTTTTTTCTTGTTGTTTTGGATCTTAGTCTGTTCATGACAGTCGGATTTATCAGTTGAAGCTGTTCTGCGACAAAGATTACCCCGAAAAGCCTCCAAGTGTTCGCTTTCACTCACGCATCAACATGATTTGCGTTAACCCTGAAACCGGAGTGGTACTTTCATATTCTAAATTTCATTTTTCCATCCTTAATATGATGTAACGGAAACACGATCCTATGAATGAATGCAGGTTGAACCGAAAAAGTTTGGGATTCTTGCGAATTGGCAAAGAGAGTACACCATGGAAGACATCTTAACACAGCTGAAGAAGGAAATGGCGTCTCCTCACAACAGGAAGCTCGTCCAACCCCCGGAAGGTACTTTTTTCTAGCGTTCGAGAAAACCATCATACCAAAAAAAAAACTCGGGAAAACCCCATCAACCGTTATTGCTCTGTGCAATACAGTAGTTTGTAATGAATTCAGTATCCTCTTCTTCACTATGTTCTTGCTGGAGTTGAAAGATTCTTCTGACACTTTCCTCCTCATTGCTCATAAACTGTCCTTTTGATGTTCTTTTCGATCAATGGGTGCCTCTCGATTTCTCGTCTTGATTTCTGATTTATCTGCAAGCTCGGGATTTTTTGTCGATTGAAAGGTCGGTGTTATAGATTTAGAAGGAGAATTCTCGCCCTGAGTAGGTTTGTTTGAGATATGGTTGAATCCTGATTCTTAGTGTTTAGTTGTCACTTGTGATAGGAGAGGAATGACCTTCTCGAGTAGGATTTTTCTTCTTCAGTTTTCACTTGGAAAACATTCCTGTATAATGCAAAAGAGAATAGACCATTTATAATTTATAGTATCAAATAATAATGCATTATACGTGTATATATGTATATATATATATATATATATATATATATATATATATATTCTGGCATATGTGGAACTCGTTGCTATGATTCTTTAGGATGTTCCTGCAATCCAAATCTTTTTTTTAATCCCAAGTAATCTCCATGAGATACAAAGCATCATCTGTACATAAATCGTGTGAACTTGGAGCTCCAGTATGCGAATACATAAAAATATCTTTATTAGGGTAAATTTAAGAGATCATGTGTATATATATATATATATGTATATGGCTTTTTGGTAACTAAGCTTGAGAGTTAGATAGATGGGACCTCCAAAGTCACCATAGTGAACAAACTGTGTTTGTTTATGTTACAAAAAAGTGGGTTTGATTCAATGTGTCGGCCATTTGTTTGATCTGCCTCGGCTTTTCAGTGCAACCACTTGAACACTTGTATTTGTTCGTTAGGGAAGGATTTACTACTCGTATTACAAAATCATACGTATTTTTTTTATTATATTAGATTATATATTACTCAAATTTTATATGTATATATATATTAATATTGTGAGTAAAAAAACTAAAGAGGAGTCATTCCAATATTCTTGTCATTGTGTATGATCATTCCTTTGCTTTTCCAAAGTCAAATTATATAAGTACATCTCAAGTGCGGCAATTAATATACTGACTCACAAATCATCTTTTGATAGGTGACCTAATCATCCACTCACATTCTTTATCAAATCATATAATTTTCATCTTGTATTTATTTTTTTTTAATTTAGAATACAAAATTCACGAAACTCTTCCAAAAGTTAGAAATGTTTTTAATTAAACAATAATAATGAGCATAATATAATTTTATTTTTTTTAGTGACATTGAAGGAGGAATCTGAAGGGGGAAAAAAAAAGAACACGAACCGCATAGCTTCAAGGAAAGCAAACTTAATTACTACCGTCCGATTAGGGAACAAAAACTAGACGGAGTCCGACTAAAACAAGCCACGTGACACGCACGTGTCATAAACCGGCGCGTTTGGCGGCGGCGGAGGGTCTGAAGACGCCGTCCCAGATATCTGTGAAGGCACGGAGGATGACGGAGTGATGAAACGGTGCGTTCAACCGGAGAAAACGGCTGAGAAGCTCTCTCAGATCGTCCTTGGAGTATATCTCGTTCTCCAGAATCATGTGGAGCATCGATTGCCGGAAATCCAAGTAAGGGTCGTCGGAATCTTTCTCCACCGCGACTCCATCGCCGACGGCGCGGCGGAGGCGGCGGACGGTAGAGGAGGAGGAGGAGAGAGGGGATGACGTGGCGGTGGAGAAGGAGGAGTGATCCTCTGTGTTAGTTGTTCCGGTGGACGGTGTGGCGGAGGAGGAGGAGTGGCAGTGGTTGTAATTAAGGTGGGGGCGAAGGGCATTTCTGGGTTTTAAAGGGATCGGGTTGAAGACATCGAAGAGGTTTGGTTTCTTGCAACTGGTGCCTCTACATCGTATGTTCACTACTGACACTTTTGTCTTCATGATTTGCCTCTTCTTTCTTCTGTCCGCCATTGTTATGAGAGAGAGAGAGAGAGAGAGAGAGAGAGAGAGAGAGAGAGGGTGTTTGATGTTTTGGGTGTTACATGTGTGTTGTGCGAGCGATTTATATATAATTGTTGAGAAGATCTGGACCGTTGATTTTTTCACAGGAAAGACAACTGAAATCGGACGGTTGAGAAGTGAGGAGAAGTAAGTGGGGTGTTTTTTTTCTTTCAAGATGCCCAATGTTCATATCACGTGACCCTCTTGTATTATTGTACGTGGAACTTATTTTCGGCAGTGGAGAATGTCCGTCGCTTTACTGCTCACACGTCGTCGTTTAGGTATATAAAATTTCGGAAATATTTTTAAATATAAAAATAGGTTATTTGGTTATATGCATGACGTATTAATTAAACCAAGGTTCAATTCAAACCCTAAACTATAAAATATCTAGAAAAATATGTAAAATATCTATGGATTTTAGACCCCATGTTGATATATTAGTTATTACATACATATATACATACATATATATGTAGATTAGGGTGGAAACAGTAAAAAAAAAAAAAAAGAGTAGCGAGAAGTAAGCAGTACGTTTGTACTTTTCCCCAAGCTTTTGAAGATTAGTTGGGGGGCCGATGACACTATCTGAATATCCAGATCGGATGACACTATATAATTAAAATATAATAATAATACGAAGATCATATAATATATTTGGCATCAGTTTCATCTGATCCAATGGGTTGGTTGACTTGACTGTCTCACACAATAAGAGGGATTTTGTTTGATTTTAAATAAAATACAATGCAAATGATATGGTCAAAATTCCTTTTATTAAAAGAAAAATGCGACCTTATATATATTTCTATATATAAAAATAAAGTATTATGGATAGGTCGCAAAGCGGGAAATACGGCGGTCCACAAAAGAAAAAAAATAAAAAAAATAAAAAAGGGAACAATCAAATCATCGCGGAGAGAAAAACTCCAGCTCCTTTCTGCACCATAAATAACCAAATGCACTTTAATCGTACCGGAAAATCAAACTAAACCGGATCATCCCAAAAAATAAAATCTAAAACCCACTCTGCCAATCGCCCACATTTTTTTACCCAAAATCAAGATTTCGATTTCTAGGGATACCCCCCCACGAAATGAATTTGCAAAGTTATAAATATTTATTATCGCTGTAACCAACAAATTTGGGTCCATTGTGATTGGTTAGGGAAATTGGGTAGTGTGCGCCTTAAGGTCGAAACAAATCATAGATATATAGACTATATTATATAATGTTATTATCATATTATAATATGGTAATTTTTTTAAATGATTGTGAAATTTAACGATGCAGCTGAACGATGAAACGTTACACAACCCTTTGGTGGACTCCCAAGAAACGCAACGTTCCTTGGCGACTCCGTCTTAATTTTTTAAAAATAAAAACCCTTGGAAAGGAAGCGTCTCTCTCAAGAAACCTCTCCTCCTCTTTGCTTTCCCTTTCCCCTTTCCCCTTTTTTTCTCTGTAAACTCCATACCCGTTTTTCGATTTTCCAAACCCAGATCCCAGTTCTTGATTCGATCCGGATCCTATTCGTTTACAGCATTACTTTGAACGAAACGGGAAGTGTTTCAGTGGTGGCTTGATTCGAGATGCTCGGGAATTTTGTCACAAGGATTCTCATGTAAGATCGTCTTTCCCCTTTTTCTTCCCCTCTCGAATCCTTTTCTCGATCCGTTTCTCTCGATCTGGGATTTTTCAGATTGCTTCTGGGTTACGCGTACCCCGCATTTGAATGCTACAAAAGCCTGGAGAAGAGAGAGCCCGAGATTCATGAGCTTAGATACTGGTGCAAGTACTGGTATCGCAGATCAAACAAAAACCCAGTTCTGCAAACTCTGGTTTATTACTTCCCTGATTTGAGTAGGGTTCTGATAAAAATTTCTGCAGGATCTTGGTGGGTCTTCTGACAGTTCTTGAAAGGATAGGAGACGTATTCGTTTCATGGTGAGTTGCAGAATCTTCATCAGGAATCCCATACTTGTTCTTGTTATGTTCTATTTCAAGACAAAACTTCTGAGTTTCGATTCATCATCTTCTTCAAGGATTCCGCTCTATGGGGAAATGAAGGTTGCCATCTTCGTCTACCTATGGTACCCAAAGACTCAGGTGAGGAACACACGAAGAAACTGATTCAACTTCCACCGATTTCGGGTCTAATCTGTATTCAAGATTCAATCTTTTTTCATGGTTCTGAAGGGAACTGGTTATGTCTACAAGACTTTGCTCCAACCCTATGTGTCGAGGCACGAACTAGACATCGACAAAGGCATTGCAGAGTTTAGGATCAAAGCCGGAGACATTCTCGTTCGAACCTGTCGATGCAGCTTCCAGTGGATCCAAACAACTATCCCTCGAATCTTCGAGGCCCTGCAACAACAATTCGACATCAACCAGGTACTCCATTGCCATTGACACAACCTGATCACAGATTAACAGATACAGTATCTGGTTTTGTAAATCCATTCATCACGCCCACAAAAACTTGTTTCTTTGAAGAACACCCTTTGGGTTCTGAATCAAAATCAATCCTTTTCGATCACAGATAAATGCCCGACCAAAGACAAAACAGAGAAACCGAACTGAAACCCCATTCTGGTTTCTCCGTTGGGTGTTTCAGAATGGTTCAAGCAACATCAGGAAGAGACAACCATCGTCAACCACACCACAATAACACCTTCAGGGATAAAACTTTTCTTCTGCACAATTTAGATCCCATGAAGAAATCAAAGATTTAAAAAAAAGAAATCAAAGATTTCAGAAATTGATTTCCTTTCCTTCAAATCATTCAATCTTGTTACACTTTTCCTTGGATACAAACACAATTTTGTGTGCAAGCATCTTCAATCTTCAGTATTTACCCCTTTTTCTCCCCGGAACATTCGCTGGAGATTTTCACCGGAAAAGCTCTTTCACCGCTAGAGGATTCCGAATCGACCCAAAAATCCAGTCGACCATGCGGCTGAGGAACCGTAGACCGGCGGAGAAGTGGACCCACACGCGTTGGAGGAGCTGCGAACCGTAGGGACCCGGCGAGGAAGCGATCGCCGTCGGCTGGAGGTACGACCAAGCAGCCTGCTTGACGAGGCGGTTTCGGATCGAGATCTCTCCGACGGGCCCGCCGCCGTTGGCCACCGGAGAGTAGATAGAGGCCGTCGGAGAAGAGATAAGGTCCCGGAGAGAAGTGTATGCGACGAAGGAGGAGCAAGATTTCAGAGAGGTGAGCTCGAGATCGAGCGTTGACGGTGGTGAAGAAGACGCAATCGGAAAAGGGGTCGCAACCGTGGCGGCTATGGAGTTTCTGCGGCGGAGAGACGGCGGAGTCTCCATCACTGCGTGAAAGAGAGAGATGCTTCGGTGGTTTTGTGGCTGATTTTGTCTGCGTTGAATTCAATTATTGGAGTACATTGTCTCTACTTGGAGCATATAAAGGATAATAAAAATACGGAATCTTTTTTATTTATTTATTTATTGTATTTTAATATTGAGTGACCAAAAAGATTTTATATTATATATTATTATTGTATATTGTTTTCTCATTTCTGTGGATGAATCCTACTGGCAGAGGGTCATGGTGTTCATGCTCCTTACTCAAAATTTTAATTAATTTTTTATATAGGGGAAATCGCCATAAAAACCCTGTACTTTTCCCATGTCAACGAAAAAACCCTGTACTTTTTTCCTTACCAAATAAACCCTGTACTCTATCCTGATAACCAATTAAACCCTGTACTTACAATTTATTAACTAAAAAACTCCCGCGCCGTGAACGTTGTGACGGCTGAAACGGAACTAGTGACATGGCATAAACGGAGTTGCTGATCCTAATCCACGTAGGATATACTTGCCACGTCAGATAAAACAAGCTTATAATTTACACAAAATTGTATTTATTCTGGGTGATAGCAGAAGAACGCGAGAGCGATAGAGAGAGGGTAAGAGTTTCCATTTGTAGGGGCTTTCTCTCCAGATTTTTCAACAGATTTCGAGTAAATCTCGCATCTGTTCTATCTCGTTTGGTTTATGCGTTATTTTTATCAAGTGAAGCAAAGGTAACAGGTAAGAAACTCCATTTGAGTTTCTAGGGTTTGTGGGTTGGCTTTGAAATATATTTGATTTCAGAGATTTCAGGCTTGTTCGGGTTCTGTATTGTTGTTATGCTACTGAAAAGTAAAATTTCACTTGAGATTTTTAGAGTTAGGGTTTAGGGTTTGTCAAATTTCGGTTACCGTGGGGTGGTTTTGGCAGATTTAAGTTTATGGGTATTGTTACAAATGTGTTAGAGATTCATCAGAGACTTCGATTTCGATTTTTTTTACTAAAAATACAGTACGTGTTTATGTTGCAGGTTGAAAATAGAAGATGAGTTATGCAACAGAGTCTTCACTTTCGAATGCTCGACCAACTCGACGGAACAATGGAATTTTACAATTTCGGTGTGAATGCGGACTACCTATATCAAGAAAGACATCGAGAACAGACAAAAATCCTGGAAGAATTTTCTTTTCTTGTGACTCGCAAGAGGTATGTAATTTGTACATATTTTTTTTTTCTTCAGAAAATGACATTGGTTTCTTATGTTTGTGTTGTTTTATGTTTCAGAGAAATGGTTCTCATTTTTTCAAATGGCTTGACGATGCGATAATTGAAGAGTTGGATGGTTTCCGTGATGAGTTACATGAAGTGAAGATGGAAAAGATGATGGATGTTAAGATGGAGAAGATGATGGAGAAGATGATGGATGTTAAGATGGAGAAGATGATGGAGAAGATGATGGATGTTAAGATGGAGAAGATGATGGAGAAGATGATGGATGTTAAGATGGAGAAGATGATGGAGAAGATGATGGATGTTAAGATGGAGAAGATGATGGAGAAGATGA